ATAAATGATCAGATTAAAGGCAAGACTTTTACAATGAAAGGAATCAGACCTTCTCTCTTGTCATGGTTATAACTTGCACTTTCATGTGAAATACCCAGTGAATCTAGCAATGTTGCCCCCGCAAATTAGTTTTAATATACAACAACAAAAACTTGAATGGAAAAACACTTTTATTAAGATCCCAGCTTCATCTATTGATCATTGTTTGAACATATGTTGCAAGGAAAGTTGTATATATGTTTACAGTATTGGAAGTTAGAAGAACAAAATGCAAGTAACATTGCTGCAAAGATGAAAATCAGTTAAGGGCCCACATAGCAATCCCAGCAAACACAGAAGGCACCCACCAACAAGAGAAAATTATTTACTACAATATCTTACCTATTAAGCTACAAGTATTCTATTAATTTCACATGTCAAAATATTTTTTGTGTATATGAAATGGCAGCTCAGGGTCTACACTGGCTATTAAATACTCTTCAGCAGAAAAGTGGGCTGTCTAACTAAACATAACATTGCTATATGCATCATAAGCAATAGGTTTGTGTTTATTGAAAAGGTGCAAAATGTAATAATTTGCTGAAAATCCCACTTAAGTACATGAGAGAACATCTACAGAAAAAAGCTAGGTTTAAATGTTGAAATGCTTATCATCATGAGAGGACATGGAGATGCTATAGCGAAGGATTAGTTAGACCTTCCAGGATCCCCTGCTATGTGAGAAAGCTTGCAGAAGCCTTTCCCTCAGCCTCTTCTCTGTGGTGTAATCAGGAAGAAGCAGGTGCAGGAAGCACACATTGGCTTCGGGATAGTGGTCTTCCGTAGATGAAGGCAAAGGAACGATTGTCACTTTTACATATTCAATTCCTAACACAGGTATGCGATCGCTGCCTGTCAGAAACACTGCAAAAGAAGAAAAAAAAACTTGTACCCCTAAAAAAACTGCAAAGCTGCTTTTAACTAGGTTCCAAGAAAGCCAGCGTACAGAGCAATTGATGATGCTGACTCTTGCCCTGAATATATATTATTCTGTTAAAATCTAACATACATATATATGCCAAAATGTAACACTGTAAATCCATTATTCAGCTGTCTTCAAAATCTTTCATGGGTAATGTTAAGAAAGACATTCATTGAGATTTTTGTAAGTTTTTAATGGTTTAAAAATGAAAATATTAAAAATGATGGCTAAACGACTAAATGGTTTTATAAGGAATTCAAAGGTAAACAATTACACACGTTAAATTGAAAAAACGTGACAAATCTAAATGAAATGGACAGCAGGTGTCTTGGCTCAAAGATTCACAAAGAAATCCGGAAACATTTAAAAGAGAATGGAAGGGGGGAAATCACAGAAAAGAAATTCCAAACGAATTTGCATTGGGAGCAAAGACCATAGAACCAAAGGGAAAAAGAAATGCTTATACCTAAATTCTATGCAGCACTAAAACTAAACCACATGACACAGAACGTACCAGATTAGCAGCCAATTATGATAAAACTGGAATCATAGAAACATAGCTAACTGAAAATAGTGGGTGTGAACGGAACATTAATGGATGCAGTTTTTTGGAGTTTTGGAGAGATACGAAAAACAGAATATGGGGACGTATATCGTTATATATCAAAACAAGTTCAGGTTCAGGAAGCAAATCAGGAGGAAAGAGTATTGGAATGTACAGTATATGGGTCAGACTTGTTAAAAAACATTCCAAAATACATAGAGTTAGGAGTATGCTATAGATCATTAAATGCAGATATTGATTAGAATGTGTCACTCTATCATGAAATAAGAATATGTGTGCATATAAACATATATATTTTTTATGGCATAAAGACAAAGACAGGGGTTGACTATGGGATTTCCTATAGACAGGGAAAGACCTATAATAATGTCAGCAGAAGAAACTGAAATGGTAGATATGATTAATGTTGGCCAAGATTAATGTCCTTACCAAGTTTGCTAGAGCACCTACAGGAGAAAGTGCTTATGGACAGAAGACATGGCATACTCACTGAGGAAGTCTTTTTTCTGATCCAGGGTCAGATCAAGAAACACTTTCCAGAATATGATAACTGTAGGATGATCAGCATGGTAACTTCCTTTATAAAGTGCATTCTTGTAAGGAAATAATAAATAAAATGTGTATTAGATACAGTAGATTAAATTGCTATTTCTTTGTAGCAGAATATTGTATAGCAAAACAGCCACCAATAAGAAACTTAATCTTTCCAAAGTTTTCACTCCAGTAACAGCAACATACAGTACAGTACTGTAGCTCCTATTTGACAGAGCTAAAAATGCTGTGATTCAAATGCTGTTTGCCTGCACCGGTGAGATGAGTATTAACTTGCATGATACACTAACTACACTGGTTATGCAGTTCATAGTTACTTAATGTACAACAAAACATGCATATCAGAAAGGAAGAATGAATCTTTGGCCAAATTTCTGTTTTTTGTCCAGCACACAGGTAGTAATGCAATATAGAATGAACAGATTGTTCCCAGGATGGTACAGGAGCTCTGTTCACATCAATCATACACGGTGCATAAACTGCCTTCAAGATTATAATGTTGGTTGAGTGCATAATGTGGAACACAACATTTTTTTTTTAAACTTATATGGTAAGAATGCCTTTTTGGTGGCCTTTTTCAGTAAAAACACATTTCTCTAGAGGCAGTAATAAAATTCTGTAGCTAAAATAATAATATAAGCAGATTTTGTATGGGCACAAAATATTTTCTCATTTGCAAAAAAAATGTGCTTGTTCCAACAAAAATGATTAAACTTAAGCTTTATACAACTAAACTTAAGCTTTATACAACAATTGATAAATTAATTAAACCAGTGAGGGGCGTGTTCAGTGTGGAGGTGGAAGGCGACGCCTCGCCTTTGGAGTCACAGCTACACTCTCTAAACAAGGACGAACTGCAGCTGCGGGGGCTCTTTAAAGGCACACCCCAAGAGGACGAGCAGGGCGTCCCCTGGAAGGGCAGGATCTGTACACCGGCAGCCTCGGAAGGGAGTGTACCCGAGCATGAGGCTGTTTTTCTTCTTTTTATTTTCTTTTAGCCTGTCCCGTCCTGTGTCTATATTGGAACAGGCTTACCCTTTTCCACAAGTTTTAAGTTTTGGGGGGACGTTGTGCTCCCTGCCCCCCGACCGGGCCCAACTAAATAGTCCAGTCTGGTCCCCGCTGCCACGTAGGTGCTTTTTCCAGGCTGGACCCTGTTAGATAGGGTAAGTCCAGCCTGGGTGTCGCTCTGCGCGATGGGGCAGTGCCGCTTCACATTACGGGACATTTGTTATTTTTCCTTTTTGTTTTTGTGATGCCCTGACGAGCTCCTGCATTAGCACCCTCATTTACCACGGCCCATTCCACACGTGCAAAGAGCTCATCAGGGCCATCTCTAACGAGATCAGGCCGGGCTGATCAACCTTCTTGCACACTAAACCATTCATCAGGGCTCTGACATTGAGTCGACTAACAAGAGTGTTTGCTTGTTCTTTGTTTCAGGTTTTCCAGGAGTTACTTTACAGTTTTTCCCACAGCCTTCCGGTTCCTCTTTGCGATGTTACCACTTGCTAACTTTCTATCACCCACTCCTGTCTCCCTCCCAGATCTGACTGCTTCCCCTGTGCATCTCAGCTGCCTGCCGTTCTCCTTCTGCTTCCCCTGCGCATCTCAGCTGCCTGCCGTTCTCCTTCTGCTTCCCCTACGCATCTCAGCTGCCTGCCATTCTCTTTCTGCTTCTCCTGCGCATCTCAGCTGCCTGCCATTCTCTTTCTGCTTCTCCTGCGCATCTCAGCTGCCTGCCGTTCTCCTTCTGCTTCCCATTACTGCATTGTTATCACCCAATTACATAATAAACTCTGTAATCTTTACCACTCTGAGGACAATTACTGCACCGTGCCCTTTTTCTTTCCACCCACAGGCCCGGTATAACAGTTTTATGAAACAGAAAATTCATAATATATAGTCTTATTCAATATAGTATTGGAGACACATTGGTGATGCTCACCCGTTTGAATTTATTCCAGTCATAGTCTGTAGTCCCAGTCATGGCTTCCATTAGCTCCTGTGGCTGGAAGAAGCTGAGCAACTCCGCATCACAGACTTTGCAAAACCCTCTTCTGAATTCATCAAAAAGACCGTTCACAGCCTTGTTGAACACATAGTCCACATAGGCACTGACAAATTCTTTCCTGTGAAAACAGGAAAAAAAAACTATCAAACACTGGGTAATGGCCACCCCTTCCGAGTACAGAACGAGACATGACCCAGTGGCTAACGTCCTCACTCTCTCTAATGAAACGTTTAACTAGTTTCCTCTCTTGCACCTCCTCTCCTCCAAGAGTGACGCTATTACACAATCCCTTGTCTGGGCAACTAGGACATGAGGCGTTAAACACTTTATTTTCTTATGCTCACCTAAATTGAGCTTGTCTACTCTTCTTTAAGCCCTTGGCTTGTGGACTCTCTGGCTCAGTGTCTCGTTCTTGGGACACATCTCCCTCAGGGTCATCTTGACTCTTTCACTGATTCTTGTATAACGCTCACATGTTCTCTCTCTCATAGTCCCCTCATGACCTTCCCTGAGGTCTTCTCCCTCAAGGTTCTGTCACAAGGACTCTCGGACCAGTATTTAGGTACTGGCTCTCACTAACTCGTCTCTATAGGGGAGCAATAGAAGAAGACCCCCAGCTTAGTCATTCCCATTTAACTGAACCTGCTCTACCACCTTCTTCAACCTTACCAGCAGGCCGGCAATGCCAACAACCAGACTGCTACTTGACAAGAATCTTCCCTGTATAAAGATGAGTCTTGCTCTGTCTAGGAGCCTCCAGGTTCTCATAACTTTATATATGTGAAGTAGAATAATACATTTGTTTATTTAGCCCTGTTTTTTATTGTGGTGAAACTGCAAGTATCAATTAATATTCATATTGCTATAATTTATAGACTGCTTGTCCTCATAAAATTCCCCATAACCTTGAAAGGGGTTCCTTGACCTTTAGGATGCTTTTAATTTATTTGGCTGATGCTTCTATCTAAAGAGACTTGTAGAGGTTCCATTATTTATTTTTTTGCATACAGATTTATCATCTCCAGTTTATACAATTGGGTTGGCAGGAGTATACTGGATGAAGTAAAGCTGCTGAAGCATACAGCAGCAGATTTTCCACCTTCCTGCTGCTGATTAAAATTCCCATCATTTTCATCCATCCTTTTCTAAGCGATCCTGTTGTAAACAATCTGACATTCCCAGTTTCAGAGCCAAACAGGATGAAAACAGACACACCAGGGTCAAACAGGTATTCCCAGATAATAGAGAATCTTAGTGCAACTAAAACCTCAAGTGTCCCAGAACGTCAGGGAGATTTTTTTTAACACCCACCAAAACACAAAAGAACTTCTGTCAGGTGATTCACACAAACAAGAAGAACAGTACGAAAGTCATGACACATATGATGAAATTTACCTCGTAAATAATTCAGTGTTAGAGAATGGGAGTGTCTCTGTTGATCTGTTACTCTAGCACATATGTTTTTAGTTTATTTCTTTTAAAATAAAAAACAAAATGAATTTGAACTTATGTGTATTTAATACAAATCTATCTTCAATTAAATCTAAGACACACACCACAGCCTGAGAAATAACTACTTTATAAAACTGACAATATTTAACTGTTTGAAGAGCAATGTGATGAATTGGCAGGCTGGAAGTTGTTTATGTAAGGGGTCCCTACATAAGGTGCTCCTGGTTTCTAAACAGAAAATGGAATAATAAAAAATCCATTACAGACATAGGCACCCAGACTATACTAAGAATGTATGAATGGTGAATTGTGCCAGCTTGCAAGGTGCAAGTAGAGTTAAAAGTAGAAAGAACAAAGAAAAAAATGTTTTGGTTGTGACGCCTTCTTCAGGTGTTCAGCTCAGACCTGTTGCACATACTATAGAGATTGTAACCTCAGTAAAAGTCTTGATTTTGAACATACCTGTTGGATTTATTCACCGGTTTGCTCTTTCCATCAGGAATCAGGTCCACGTCTTTGTTATCCCAGCACACCTAACACATATTTTAAAAATGCAGTCAGAGAAGAAATCTGAAGCTGGCAACTGTCTTTTCATCAGCCACTGTTCAGAATTACAGTATATGCATTAAATGAGCAGATGTTTTAGATAAAGGTATGATTCAGTACATACAGAAAAGCTCAACGCCAGTCTTTCTTCAATATCATCGCCACTGTAGTCCAACAGATCTTGTAAACTCCTGCAAGTACAGTAAACACACAAAGTAATGGTGTTATCTGACCTTGAATTTGGCAGTAAGGTATACAGTGTAACACTTTTGTATTGTTTAATAATTATTATTAAACGTGTTAAATGTGCTAGATCCCATTTTTTCCAAATATTTTAATTGTTTTCTGGGGATATGATCCTACTTAAATTATTAAAAATAATTATTTCTATGTTGTATATGTGACTATTGTGCACCACATACATTACTATTCTGCTGAAAATAAATGCACATATCGGGACAACTAGTGTAAATAAACATGTAGCAGCATATACATATCAGTTGCTATACTGTAATACTGAAATGTGTATTATACCAGCACTGGGACAGTTCATGAGGGAGTGATGAAGCAAAACACACAGAAGCTCAAATGTTAACTGAAAGGCAACTTGCCTTATTCTAAAATCTAGCGGTTTTAAGCAAAAAAGCTTAAAAGGACCTCACATGACAAAAGATAAACGCCAAAAGCGCAGATCACTAGGTCTGCAGTCAAGATAAAGAACCTCGGAGGGGGAAGGATCTAAACAAATACTTTGTACCATGTTAAACTTGTATATTTCATAACGCTTTTGATCATCGAAAATGGGATTCATTCCAGAATCTCATTTTGTACACCTTCAGTCCCAGTTAATATAGTCCAGCCGACTTTGATCTATGAACTGCTTCCAGCCAGGGAAAACTGTTAAATGGTCCAATAAAACTAACAGTTTCCAACATTACTGCAATAATTTCCAAGATTTCAGATGGAGTCACAACCCAAGAACAGATCTTGAGGGGTAGAATGAGGGGTAAATTGGGGGTGGGCACTGTTGTAATAAAACTATGAATAATGTTTTAAAGGAAACTGAGATCAAACTAGAAGACATGGCATCATCACAATTTCTTTCATCATGAAAATCAGATCTGTTTATATTTTAATTAAACTAATCATTATTATTTAACAGATATCTGAGACCACGTGGTGGAAATAAGACGTTACTGACTTGCCACAAGTCTGGTGTATCCTAAGCCTGTTCCTCTTGTGATACTTAATAGAGTACTTCAGATTATTCTCTTTCACTCTTTCCTAGTTTCACTCACTCTCCCACCCTGGGCTCCAGCTCCTTCAGGTCCTCCAGAGTTGGCTTCACATCAACCAGCTTCTTGAACAAAGCCAGAGGGAATGGGAGGTGCACAGTGTTGTAGTTGTACACAGCAAGTCCACAGAGAATCCCGAACAGATAGTATTTCTTCTTCTCCACTGATGCCTAAAATACCAGTAAATAACCTTTATCCCAGAAACATTGTCCAAGTCTGAAATGTATATTCTTAAATGCATGAGCACTCTTAAAAATATGATTATTTATTAACTTTCATTTCATACCCTGCAAATTTGGAATCACCAATAGCTAAAGAGCTTGACTTGCAACTGTCACCCCTTTCTCCAGTAGTGAGTGACCAAACACAGAAAATGTTCTCCTCTCACAAACTTTCTGTCTCAATCTGGAACGCTGAGAGATCCATAGTGCCTTACAGGAGATTCAACACCAATTGGAGGAGTGATGTCACAAAGGCAAACCTTGTCATGGTTGGCTAATAATATCTCAGGCTCAAACTGGTACTGCCCAGACTGTAGGATTTGAACTGCATGCCAGCAAACACTCTGGGTTCCCTGGGAATCCTAGTCTGCAGATATTTTATAACATCTATTTTAGAATGCAATATTGAAGAAGTCAAAACAAGAATATGCATCAAGCAAAGTGTCAGGAAACAGGCAACTCACACTACAACAATACTTAAATACAGTATTGTTGACCACATTCATTCATGACCTCAAATCCTAGTGGAGAAAATGAGGAGTTTGCATTTCGACTATGTGAAAAAATATTTGTGAATAAAACTGATTTAATTTGCCTTATGTTATGCTGACTGGCTAAGTAGTTTCAATTAGTGTCCTGTGGTTCATGTATTACTATTGATTCTCATTGGGGTAATTCTGTAAGTGCTTTTGAGAACTTTGAACTCTTGAATGAGATCCCATCATAGTGTGCATGTATATAAAAGAAAATATATAATACAACAAGTACTTTATAAATATAGGATTCATTGTGCTTCACTTGTATATGCTACAGAAAATGATTGACGGGTCAGACACTGTTGGGTCACTATTACAGGAGAAACTGTAAAATGTCATGCTCAGCAGGACAGATGTGTGTGTGTGTCCTAGTTGTTTTTTGGTGTTAATCCTGTTTTCCTGCCTAATTAAATGGGTTGAGCCTCTCTCAAAACAAACTAACATAATATAGATAAGGTTCTTTTTTCATCTGTTTGAATGCAGATCATTTATATAATTTAAGTGTGGTCCCTGGATTGAAAGGCAGATAAGGAATTGCTAGTTCATATAGCATGGAACAATACATCAGAGCTCCTTGATAATCTTGAGCTTGTGCCTCACCTTGGTAGGAAACCAAATTACTGTCGATGACTCATTGTACCAAAACATGCCAGATTCAGGTTCAATGATTTCACTGATGACTCGGCAGAAGAATTCTCTTTGTATTCCTCTTTGATCCTGGCACTGCTTTTCTTGGAACTCCACCTTTAACGACATAATTTACTTACACTGGCGGAAAGAAAACTTGGATTTTCTTTTTGGAAGACTTTTACAGTGTGTGTGATTATACAGTATGTGTACGCTGGCAATTTCAGTTTATGAAAGGAAAGTAGGTAACATTTTAGAGGCTTCAAATAAGACTCGGGTTATGTAATAATTTTTAACTGGTCATAACATCATTAATAACACATTCAAATATTGTTTATCTATTATTATTAATAGATATTACAGTTTTACCACAAACTATCTAACTCGTATCATAGCAGGTGCTTAATCACATTAATAATAAAGCTCCTACATTTCTTTTAAACAAAACACACTCTTCTTATCACACAACTACAAACTCACTAACAGACAGAGTTATACAGTATTAAAAGGGAAAAGCAAGTTATGTTTGGTAGTATGACCCATCATTGTACACATCGGTTGGGGTGGTCTGTCTTTTTGAAACAAAACAAGCAACTTGGCTTATAATGTATTATTATAATCAAAACTCATATTTTGGGTTTTAGAAAAAATAAGGCTTAAACAGTCAATTAGCCTTTTGTTACTCAGCTTTCAAAGACATACATAAACATCAAACACCACAGAATCTTTACCAACACACAAACAGCTTCAGAAGGAAAGCGTAGATCATCTCACCATTAGCTGCTCCCTGAAGGTCGCATCCTCTGCCATGTGGAGTTTTCTAAAGGCATCAGCGGTCAGCTGTGTGCGTCTCACCTGGAGCCTGAACACAGGCAAAGGAGGAAGCAATGGAGCCCTCTGTATTACTTCTGTAACGACTGCTGTATTGGAGTAGTCGATATTCCCAAGCTACAAGGTAATAAAATGTACAAAGGCAATATTTATTACAGTAGAACACATACAAAAAGATATAAGCTTTAACTCAAAAGTGTGTACTCTTGCTGAAGAAGCCTTTCCCCACTAAATTAAACTACATTTTCACACAGTCATCAGCCGCTGTAAGGATGTTGAATTGGTTGTGTCCGTTCATATCCACTTAATCAAATCACACCTCTGTTTAGTACTGGATCATGCTGAACATGACTTTACAGTTCATTACACTGTATGACATTAATGAGGGAATTCAATAATGAAAAAATTAAAGATATGGTTGCAATTAAACCTTTTAATAAATATGGGCTACCTGTACTTTGTTTGCTCTGGGCCACTCGTTCCTCTGGCCCTTTTTCATCTTTGGCAGGACCAGTTTTACTGAGGACTATACAAGTCTAACACGGTTCCAAACACTGAGGTGAAACGGGACATTATAGTTTTTCAGATTCAACTTTCATTGTGACGAGGACATACAGAACAACTTCAACTGGAGTCTTACACTTTTCAGGCGGGTATCAACATGCAGCATCTGAACCTTAGCGAGTAAAGTCAGTGCGAAGGGGAACCGGCAAAATATAACAGGACAGATGTCATCCATCTACAAAAACAATAATGGAAGGGTATTGTTAAACATGCTATGGTGCAACTCCTGGAAATGCACTGTAACAAAATTATAACATTATCAGATCAAGCTGGAAAGAAAGAAAGAAAGAAATCTAAAACACACTTTTCCAATGAGAACAGGAGAGATAGGAAATGCAAATGTACCAAAGATTGTTTTAACAGGAAAAATAACGTTTAGCAAAAATATACTGTGGGTTGTTAAAAACACAGACAATGCGTGTTGGAGACATTGGCATCTGATTTTTTCATGCCCCTTACTATAATGTCCAGCATTCTAGCAGTGAATTCAGTATCATAAAGATCCAATATTTAGAAAAGCCCCAGAGGTTAAGTTTAAACTGTGGATATTGATTCCAGCACTTTTAATGTAGATATACACTAGAGGTAGCTAGATCGCCCTTTAGAATGAATGAACTCTGTAGCTTTTTTTGAGACATGCCTAAGAATAAAAAATTAATCCTGTTTTGAAAAGGAAATCAGTAAAAGTGAACTTTAAAGAGAAGACATCCTATGAGCAATGTGAAACAAAATGTTGTATATTTAAACTAAAGCAAAACTATGAACTATAAACCCAGAACTGACTCCATAGCTTCCTGACGAACAAGAAAAGTACAAAGATTGACCCACAGCCTGTCCAAGCATGGAATCAACATCACGCTCACTTGTATCGTCCTTGCCAATGACTAAGATTCACATAAAGACTTGGTCAACTTTTTATAAAGCTACAGAAATGTCAGTATAAACAGAGGGATCAATTATTCAAGTTAATGTGAGGTTCATGGCCAATTAGTATAAATTCAAAGAAGGAGTAATCACATAGTGGATTAACAGCAGCAGAGTAATAAACATCTCTACTGCTACATACAAGAAAAGCTTACATCCAGTTTTGCATAGAACCGCCAGTTCACCATGTCAACCACAACTGGGACAAATGGCACCACTTCATCAATATAAAAAGCGCTCACTGGCAGACGGAATTTGGCCCCTTTATTTGCCTGCAAAATACAGTTTGATAGGCATGTTACTTATGCAGTAAAAAAGTGTCTTTAGTAATTATTTTCGAAATATTTACACTAGAATTGTAAAAAAAGAAACTTTCTAGAGTCTTTACGCACTTTGAACAGCTGTTTCATGTTGTGGAGCACCTTCTTCAACAGTTGGTGATCCTCATGTGTGCGCATGGCTGACTTTAACATACAGGAAAGAGCGTATTTGAACATTTGGAGGATCTTGTTCAAGTGAGTTGCCTGCAGTGTCGACCACCAGTTTCCTGTGTGCAAGACATTTGTTAAAGTGTGAACTCCAAAACTCTGAAATGTTTGTGTATTAAATACTAGTTCAAGAGGAGGATATAGACAGAAACAAGAAAGGAAATGCTATTTCCTGTATTCATTGGATAAAAACCTCAAGTCCGCAGCTAAAACATTGAGAGTTATAAAGAAGTGTATTTTTCTGACGATTCTAATTGAAACATCTTAATCGAATCACATATAACAATAGTTGAACACTAGAAAGTATCATCTACCTTTCTATTATCAGTAAATATCCATATCAATTACTTTATCAATAGATTTAAAAAAAACCACCTTGTTTTTACCAAAGTACAGTTAAGGTTGATTTTTAATGTTGCTCTTTATAGTCTTAAAACTATTCCAGTTTTAAAATTGAGGTTTACAGCATTTTATTATCTATTACTTTAATTTCTCAGAATATTGATTATATTTGCATTAAAAAGTATGTATTTAAAGATCTCCATTGTCTTCTGCATAAAATAATGCAGTGCATTACAATATCAAGACTAGCTACTGCTTCTTAAATATCCTAAAAAGATATTTTATATACAAATGCCATACTTAGTTGTTTATTATTTTATATACAAATGCCATACTTAGTTGTTTATTATTTAAGAATTGGGGAATTAATGAAGTCAGTACATCCCACTAACACAGATAATACAACAATACAGTCATTTCATTTTAGCACACTGCACTGTCTGATCATTTTCTGGGTACATTTACCATAACTACAGTCTAGTCCTAGATACCATACACTACTGCCTGGTTTCATGTATGACAGTGAATCTGATAGGACATCAGCACCACAGCAGGGTGAGCTGTGCCCTTGCCGACTGTATTTATACAGTACTACAGCTTGATCTCCACTAGAGTCCAGAGGAGCAGGACAGCTGTCAGCCTTCACAGTGAGAGAGACTGTAAAAGTTAGAATGACCCAGAACCAGGATGTCAATATCAAGTGACAGACATTGACCTCAAGGATTCTCTGTTCCATTTTCATTTTCTTTGATTCCGAATTGTTCATACGCCGACACCCTGCACTCATGGTGATAATATAAAAGTGTGTGCAAAAGCCCTTCTTTGTTCATAGTGCACTCTGTCAAAGCACACTGCTCATTAATAAATGTGTTATTTCTGTAGTTCTAACCATGTAACTGTTCTCTAAATCCTACTCCTACCGTGCACTAAATAAAAGCCATTTTGGAGATTTAATATTCCTGATTTATTTTTGGATGTGTGTTTTTAAGCAAATACATGACATTTGCATCTACCAGTATTACAAGTCCATACCTTATGCTAGAAGTTAGTATAACTAGCGAACACACATTTTAAAAGACACATGATTCAAAGAATGACAGATCGCAAAAAGTTTTACTAGCAAGTAAAGGCTTTCACAATTCTTCAAATAAAAAAGTCTTACTCAGGATCTTTATCGACGTGTCATTCAGATTAGCCATGGCACTTGACAGGGGGAGAATCAAGTCACGGATGTGCTTTTCCTCATGAAACACCGAGACCTCTGGTAGAATCAAAAAGATCTCCAATGCCTCCACATTAGGAGAAGGAGACTGGAGGCTTGGAATAAGTTTATCCATGAAGGATGTGGTAATCTATACAATAGATAATCCAAAGTAGAACCAGGAGTTATAATATTATATATTCTGAACCCATTCTACTCAGCAAAAACACAATAAATGAACCAATATTTGCTATTGATGGCAAAAGAGAGCTATACATCAGTCCCTGTACCAATCTTTAACAAGGTTTTGATATCTGTATCTCAAAATAAACATTTTAAAGACTTAAACATATGATCATTTAGACTCGAGCATCAGTGAAAAGAACCTCAACCTTATTTGTCAGGTATCTGGAGTTCACTCACTTCTATAGCTTTAGGAGACCCAAGAATACAGGCAAGCAGAAGAGTAGATAGCAGCATTCATGGTTTACATCACCTGATTAATTATCCAATGTTTTTTCTGAAGCTGTCGAAATGTTCCTCTAGCAGATTCAATATCAACACCAAAGAAATGCATTCTTTTTTCTGAGGGCGAATCATCCCTGAGAGAAGAACATGTGGAGTGGTTGGAAACTAGTTTATTCATGCAGATGGTTTTTGAACACAAGGTATCTTTCGACAATACAACACATTAGACAACAGACAAATCAAAGTAAACAGCACTACTTCTATTTGCCTCATTATTATATTGTTACATAAACATTGGATATTCTTTCCATTTTGCATTAAATAGAACAAGCCTGTTGTAGTGCCATAAAACAGCATTCATGCCCTTCCAATGATGTCCCATTTTGTGAAATTACAAATTATATATACACATTGTTTTATATGAACATTTTAATCAATAGTTCAAACCTAAAGTCAACACTTATGTGTGACAGAAGTTAAATGTTGGCAAAAACTACAAAGAAATGTGGACTTCCAATTATTCACCCTCTTTGCTATGGCAAACCTACAGTAAATAAGTTCAGATGCACACAATTACTTTGACAAGTCTCACAATTAGTTGAGTGGCTTCTGAGTGCAATACTGGTTACCATGATTTCAAATAAATACACATCACCATAAGGTCCTCTGTCAGGTAGTGAATTTCTGTACTGAAAGTGAATTTACAGATCTTTACCTCTAAAGCATTCCTACAAATCAACATAAAAACATATGTAACAAGTAAGATAAAAAGCAGTACAAACAGACATGAAAGGCAAATGTAAAATTGCCATACAAGATTTCAAAAGTAAAAAATATCACAACAGCTTACCATTTCTTTAAAAAACTTGCAATCAGACAGGAAGCAGATGAACATATTTCTGCAATCTCACTGTGAATGAACACAATAGTTTACACCATTTAATTTTTAAAACAGTGAGCCAAATTGTTTTGGTTTCAGAGATATTACGAAATCTTGTACCGAAACTGCGAACTAATTTTAAAAAAATTAAGGTGACACCCCAGAAATCCTACAGAAATATTATTACTAACAGTCAATATTTTTACTGGGATTCTGCCTCAGTTTCTCTGGAATACTGGTCACAGTCAACAGATGATCAGGTGCTAACTGCAGTACATGGGGAAAAAAGTATAGAATACAGGATGGTCAAAACTGGGAGTTTTTTGTCTTTTGTTTCGACATTTATTTTAAAAAGGAACATGTGTCACAAACCTTGGTGAAGGCTCTGTTATAGGGAAATTTAAAAAGAAGTGAGAAGTGATAACTGTGTAGAATTGCTACTTGACAAGTACAGAATGACATATGTTATAAGGACAGGTTTATGGATAGATGATTCCCTCTCATCCATTCATTTTCTCACAAGGAAGCCTTCAACCCACACGACCTGGTCCCAGCTGTTAAACATGGTGGCAGATCTGTTTGGTCTGGGCAGCCATCTCACTGGGCCCGATTACTACTCTGCGTGGTGGAGTTACGGCCAAGGAATACAAAGTCATTTGAGGCGACCAGCTGTTCCCTACGATGCAAACTGTTTCAAGATGTTCCCACATTCCAAGATAACACCCACATACACAGCTATATGGATTCAAGGGTGATTTAATGTCCACCACAATGAAGTCAAACACCTTGCATGGCCTCCCCAATCTCCAGATCAAACATCACTTAACCTTGATGGGAAGCTCTGGACTCAAAGAACTGGAGAATTTCCTTCTTGAATGGTCCAATATCCTACTGGAAACAGTTCAAAACTTGTATTCCAACAAGGGCAGCCCAACTCTTTATTAGTTAATAAATACTCATATACTGCTTTGTGTTTGCATTATTTTATCCAGCCCTTGTATATGACAGTGTGTATGCATTCAATGGCAGACTGTCAATGAGCTCAAAACCTGGACTTCTGGGCAGTGGAAAAAAAGTATAGTAATATCAGCTGATGAGTCATCTTTTACTCTTTTTTGTGAGGTCATAGGATGAAGATTTATCTTCTTTAGAGTGTTTATGTAATAAAAAAGGAAATGAGAAATAGTGGAGTTTTGTGCTGGACATGAGGAAGATTTGGTGTCTCCAGGAACAGTGAAGGTTTTATTAGGACATATCAGATTATGAGATTATTATATTGGTGTGCAATGCCACTCAGAGGAAAGGATGTTATAGGATGATGACTATGAAAAGGTATTAAAATAATACCTTTTAGCTTCCTTCCATTGTTTGCTTCCAAATTCCACTGTCAGCCATTTTTTAATTCGCTCTTGATCAATTTTCAGGAGTTCTCCTTTTGTCACTGGACACTAATGAAACAATTCATATCTTATCAAACAAAAACAATTATATCCCAGGTGCATGTTGGGATATCCAACAGCTTAAGCAGCAGTTACAAAATGTGAAATTAACACAAAAAGAAAGAGAGAGAAATACATTAGAAACCAGAAGCCAATCAGAGCTATCTGCCCATTTAGCCCATCGGGTTAGTAATTAATTGATCCCACAATCTCATACGCCGTATAATCATTTCAGCATGCCTTAGGGTGAGGAAGTCGAATTATCTAAAGTACCAATATAATTAGCGTTAGTATAGAGAGAGGATTATTACAGGTCCAAGAGGCACTTAAAAGGAATAAATATTCAAGGTCTGATGGAATTCTACCAATCATACTGAAAACAAGAGATGTTAATATAAGCTGTTAGGAAACCTCTTCCAACAGTCACTCAAGACAGTGGCAATATTCACTGACTGGAAAATGACTAATGTAGTGCCCATTCATAAAAAGGATGACATATTGGAACGGGGAATTATAGGCCAACAAGAGCAGAGGACAAATACCATACATGTTAAAAGGGCAGTTATTGTTTAACTAATTGCTTAGACTTTTCTCAAAACACGATAGACTCTAATGGAACAAACAGAACACATGATACGGTACAGTGCCCTTACAAAGTATTGGGACAGTGACAACTAACCAGGGATTTTCACTATGAACTCTAATAATAATTTCCCGTAACAAACATGACCAATATTTACAAACGTATTTTATTTTGAATAAATGTCAGTTCAGTTCTACCTTCTAGGGTCAGTGTGTGTTGGGGCACTTTATTCTAAAGGAGTAAAAGATTGGGAAAACTGACTGACAGGTGTCTCTAAATCAGGTATCCATCGTTGGATAATTACGCTGTTATACAGTAGCTGTGAACGTGCCGTCGACCTGTCATACTTCGACGTCAGTGTTTGCAGTCCATAATAGAAAGCCAAAATGAAAACCAAAAATGTTTTAACAAAAGCAAATCATTTTGAACCTGGAACAAAACAAATACTGAATTTACACTTTACTTACTGACAATTTTTACAGTGACTGACCCAACCCTTAATGTCACTTGAAATCATGGCTTTGAATACAAAGTCTGTTTGATTTACTTTTACTTATCAAATTTATGCTTGGAATCACCCAGAAATAATACATATATTTTATTGTAGTTATCAGCTATATTAATCTCTTTGTCACAAATATCATTCGCTTGATGTAAAAGCAAAAATAACTATTTTAATTTTGCTGTTCAAATACTTTCTGAGGACACTGTATTTATAAGTTTACAGAGGGCTTTTTATTAAGATCCTCATCCAAGATCAATCCTTAAAGTTATTCAAGGTAACGCATGTGTTGGATAGAGAATGCCTGAATGGATAGAAAACAGAAAACAGAGAAGGGTGAATTTTCAGGTAGTGTTTGGGTAGTTTACCTCAGAAGGTTGAATCTGAATAAAATTTGTATTTTTCCCTGTGAATACTGCTATTTCTTTTGGATTCAAATGACCTGAAACAGGATAATAGAATAAAGTTCAAGTTCCTGTTTATTGTAATTATACTCATACACAGGTATATGGTATAACAAATGCTATTTAGCTAGCTCTCAGACAGTAAGTAGTGCAAACAACAATACAACTGTGCAAGAATAGAAAGAGAGAGACAACAGGCAATGTGCAAATCAGCAACAGTTGTGCAAATTCATATGTCAACAGAATGAAATATAAAATTATGGAGAGTAAACGTCTTGACATGTGAGGTAGAGGTAGATTTCAATGTGCGATTGAGTTTTGATAAAGAAAGAAGGCACCATAAGGGTTCAGATCATAGGTGAGAGAGGCTGGGAATTTAATAGTTTGCTCTGGTACCGGTTTCCAGATGGTAGAGGGTCAAACAGCCTGTAGCTGGGGTATGTAAGGTCTTTGATGATGCTTAGAGCTTTCCTCAAGCACCGTCTGTCATAAATGTCCTGGATGGATGGGAGAGCAACCCCAGTGATGGACTGGGCAGTTTTCACCACCTGCTGTAGGGCTTTGCGGTCAGCAATACTGCAGTTGCCATACCACACTTGATGCAACCTGTCAGTATGCTTTCTGTAGAGCATCTGTAAACGTTAGTGAGGATCTGGGGAGATATCTTAGCCTTCTTCAACCGTCGTAGGAAGTAAAACATGTTTTACCTATACAATTCCAACAAGGCTTTGAATTGCTTTGAGTAACAACCAATACGTCAATGTCTTTTCATCTTAAATGCTAGATGGGACAGTAAGATGGGAGACTTGTGCTGTAGCTGAAGGAGGGCATGAAGGCAGTATAATTGGACCACTGAACGCACCTGAAGGAGGCAGTGGAAGGATGAGAGGGAGGGATCCTTATGTAGGAAAAGGCAGTGTGAGGCGGCAAGGCTGCAGGAATAAGCAGGCAGGCAGGCTGGCAAACACAGAGAGCCGGCAGGAGGAGAAGCAACTGCGCAGCCATGCAGCCACACGCCGATTGCAGATGTGCAGGTGTGCAGCTGAGGGGAACAAGCAACATCACAGAGGGAAAAATCCAAAACGGGAAGTCGACACAGGCAAGGAGAGAGCAAGACAGTCCGGGTCATACACGGAGAGTCACTGACACAACACAGGGAGATCCACAGAACCTGGCTAGGTAAAAAAGACGGTGGTTGAAGAGGGGGAAAAATATGATAAAGCACAGGAGACACAAACAAAGCCAAAAGGGGGAATCCAGGAGTCACAGAAGAAGGTCAACCGGGAGAAACACCAGGAGAATCAAGCCAAGCTCGAGAGGCACAGAACCAGGTCACAGAAACAAAACCAAGCAGAGCAATGTCTGCAAAGTGGGAATAAGTACCCTCTCCGTAATGAGGCAAGTGCTGCTTGATTACAAGCTGCTGGCATTGACAGCCCGCCTGATCCTGTTGTCACGGGAACGGGCAGACTGCAGGACTGATTTGCCGATGGCCCACAGGCCGTAGTGTTACCGCAGCTGGAAACGGCACCCACCCAAGTGCGATCGTCACAGGGAGAGTTCCACACTCTTTGGGAAAACCAGTGAATTGAAACCATGTCATCAATTTTCTGTTCATTCTCTGGGCATACCTTCTTGTGCAGAACCTGTCAGCTTAGAGCTCCAGGGCTGCTGTACTGGGGTGGGCTGCAGGTGACTGGCTGTGCTGTTGTTTCCTAACTGTCCCTTACTTCCGCTGCCAAAGGCCAGGAGGAGCCCGGGGGATGACAGATAAACAAGAGTGTGATGGCTAGAAAACAAATATTGACAGCGTAAAGTGAAAGCAAAAGAACATAATACATTTTTTCTCTATAAAGACAGATGTACATACTGTAAACAGTTCCTAGCATAGTTGGTGTAATCATGCTGGTTTCAGAGCTGCAGATATTGAAACACATGAGGGAAGTATGCATGCTGAAAAGAGCCAAGGTGATCCTTTAAGTCCACTGACAGAGGTCTGCTCAACTAAGATTATCCAAAGCTAACTGTAGTTACATGTTCTAAATCACAACATTACAAAATGCATATCACATCGACATTTTTTAAATACCTTGCTTTGTTAAGACCCAAGGAAATTATCTCCTATTTTTTAAAAAGCTGACCTGCCACATGCTACTTGAGATGCCTGCTCAGTGATCTGCTCCACCCTCCTTGGTTTGAGCTCATTGGTTGTAGAGTTGTGCCCCAACTGGCCATGACGTCCATCTCCAAAGGTATAAACACCACCATCCTGGAACAGGAGGTGGGAAAACTGTTAAATACAGTATGTAACCATACCCCTAATGGTTAGGTAAACAACACCTTATTACATAACTGGATGGGACGCCTTTATTCCAGTGTTAAAAATCTAATTGGATCATATTATACATAATACTTTTGTTAGTACAGCATTCTTAACAGATAGTGAAAAAGCATATAAAGTATTTTATTTCCGAAGCAGTTATCATAATACTACCACATAAATAACAGGATTAAATCATAAACTCTTGGATTTTTGTATTTCTAGCTTAACCATAGTCAAAATAGTTCTCTCCTATCTAGTGAGCAACTCTCTTCTGCTACAGAGCTATCTAGCTGGCCAGCTCTAGGCTCACATAACTCCACCTTTTCTATAACCAGATCTTCAGTAGGTTCAGAGGACACTGGTGAGTTTCTCAAGTCCAATCCCCTTTCTCCTTACATTCTGTGCACTCTGCCTTAAAACTGCTATTTTCTGCTCCAATCGTTGAGACAAATTATCACTGTCGTTCCCCAGCTCTTGACAAAAATGCTTCATTTCAGTTATTAGTTTTTTGCAGTTTGATTTTCCAGCCTTTTACTATGAAGCTGTATAAAGCTACTCAAACTCACGGAGGTCTGTCATTCTTTTTTATATAAAACAGTCGCAAAAATGAACACTACCTTTTTAAATTAAACCAGAGAATGCCACTCCTAATACAAATTGTTACAAATACAAATATTGAATTCACTCTTTTCAAACCAATTTAAAAATAATTCAGCTTTGTTTGATACAGGTGTGCTATAGAGAAAAAAGTGAAAGTCTCCTCCTACCTTAGAAAGCACGGCAGTGTGGGCATCACCACAGGATATATAGGACACCCCAATTAGTTTGAGGGCAACCGCAGGGCATGGAGAAAACCTGCCTACCAAATGAAAAATACAAGCTTCCAATGTAAACGTCTCAGTCAGCAATATTTTAGTGTTCTAGTAATTGCGGATGTAATCAATAAAATATTTTGACATGCAGATTTCCTTTATCGGACACAATGCAAACCAAGGCACTCAAAAGAAGGAAAGGGCATGACAATAAAAGCAGAGCTCATTAAAATTCCACTACCACCTGACCTTGAAATGTTTGGTTCACACACCTCCAGTCTGTTTTTACAGTGGGTTTTTCAGATGGTGATGTCAGCTCCAGCTATGGAATAGTAATCCCAGAATCCAAAGCATCCTGACGTGAAGCTTCAGACTGTCTGCACACTGCTCCGATCGACATAGTTACACTGTATACATACAAGTGCATCGCACTACGCAGAATTGTGTGTAATGATATCCTTTCATTTTTCCCCTATTTACATTGATTTATTTTATATATCTACATTTATAAGACTGGATTTTTTTTTTAAAAGAATGTACTTTTCCATTTGAAAAAAGAGCAGAAGAGTATGCTCATAACATTTTCTCACTTACATTTCATACCTACAATTCTATTTCACCAGACTGTAATATTGGACATAATTTTACTAAAATAAGCTAACTCATAAATTACACCTCAGAAGTTCTGCATGTTGCTTGAATTCATGGGTTTCTTTTCACCCCATTCAAGATAAATGTAACAGCTGCTGCCAAGCAATGTGTAAAATGTGAAAAATGGCATGAAAGGAAATGCATATTTCTTTATGGACTGATATTTTACTGAAAGGAAGTTAAAGTTTAACTATAATGTAAAAACATCAATGTTAAATACCACCACAACAACAATAGCACCTTCATACAAGCAGCATTTTTTTTAAGAAAGCAGACAGATGTCCATTTTCCTGTTTCAGTACCTTTTTCATCAACTCTGTTGATCCCCAGCTGTCCAGCATTGTTGGCCCCCCAGCAGTACACAGCCCCCGAGAGGGAGAGAGCGAAGCTGTGAGCCCCCCCTGCAGCGATCTGGGACACTGGCACTCCTGACAGTGAGAGGACCTGAGTGGGAACGGGCTGCGAGGGAGTCCCCTTTCCAAGACCCAGCTGGCCAAGGGAGTTCTGCCCCCAGGAGAAAACTGCCCCACCTACAGGCAAAAAAAACACTTTCACTGCAGCATACTCTGAGGACATAACGCAGACGCAAAAGGAAATGCGAGAGTAAGATAATGTTACAAATGAAGAGAGGCCTAGTGGATTCAGATCAGAAAGATATTGAATATTAGAGTGAAATATCACTCATGCTCTATTTCAGTTATGTCCTAAAACATGACAATACAGTTAACAAATGTCAAACTTTCATTGGAAAGCTAGCCCAAACCATAGTTCAGGTATATCCTCGGCACTTGTGGAATCTGTGTCTGAAAACGTCCTCTAATTATTTTCTACTTCTGAAAATCTTATTCAATCAGACAAAAAATTAGCCTACAATTTTCCCAGTCAGAAGCCAATTAACCCACCAGTGTGTCTTTTGACTGTGGGAGGACCCGTGTAAACACAGGGAGAACATTCATACTCCATACAGATAGCACCTCAGGAATCGCACCCCTAACCACTAAACCACTGTGCTGCTCTGTTTAAATGTATCTATTGCAATAATGTTTCTACTTTAGGAAAGATTACAATCATCTGAAAAATGTTCCTTAAATGTTCTTCTGAAAAAAAACTTGGAATAGGGTTAGAATTAGCATTAAAAACTGATATAATTTACCATTGTGATTGCACCTTTAAATACCCTAATTAAGAGCTTAGCCATATCCTCAGCCTTGTGAAATTGCATCTAAAATCTTCCCTTCAAATGATAAATAGACTTCTCTGGAAAATGGTTTTATATTTTATTTTCCTATTTATTTATATTGGAAAATGTTTATATTTAGTTATGATCTGTCTTTTTGTAGAAAGTCTTATTTATCAGTACTTATTCACAAAATAACTTATTCCTGTAATTTACAGATATTCATTACATATTCTTACTCTTTTTAAAGACACTATGATTTTGAGTTAGGAGAACACAGTCAAGTGCATAAAGAAGGCAACTTACCTCTTGAAAGAGCCAAAGTATGATGGTTTCCACAAGCAACTTGAAAGATTTGAATTTGCCCCAAACTTTGAATTATTCTGTTGATTAAAACAAAAGTATGATTTACACTTGTCATGTACAGTTAAGTGCCATTAGACAGTTTAGTTTTTTTTTATTTTAATAATCCTGGAACAAAAACAAGAGCAAGAACTATAACATTTACTGTTTCAATAAAACTGTACAGGTATTTTCGAAATACACTTCCATTTATATATACTTTTGCTAACTTGATAACGGGTACACCTGCTTACCTGGGCTTCAGAACCCCACTCTTAAAAGCGCCAGTTCCCAGCTGTCCCTCGCTCCCTCTGCCCCAGGAGTACACCTCTCCCGACTGGCAGAGCGCCAGGCTGTGCTCCTGACCGCAGGCCACCGACACCACTCCTGTCGGACCCTGGACTGGGGCTCATAAAGACAATATGGACTGGTAATTATTGAAGAAGTTCAAGTAGGTAGCTGCGTCAGCATGCACAGGTTTCAGAGGAACAGGTAAAGGTTTATGCCGTGCTGGAAGGAAGAGAGACAACATTTCGGCTGTAAAGCCTCCTCCGGGTGTCAGAAAAGCAAAAAAGTAATGAAGTATGAATGAACGAGTATTTCCTATTACCCGTGGGTCTATTTATCACATTCCACCTAGTTTTGAGGATGTACAAATTGTTCTTGTGCTATAAATGTGACTTTAACTGGTCCAGGGTTATTTCTTATGAGGCAGGGTTTAGGGTACTTTTATTTAGAAAGGTACTGCCAGTCATTGCCAGAAGCGACGGAGTGAAAAACGAAACTTAACAAAATTACAGAGTAAGAAACGAAACTAAGAGAGATGATTTTACTCTTCAAAGGGCTGTACCCCAGTCTGGTTTACTGAATCGCTTTGTGTTGATTTACAAATAAAATGAAAAACCCAAGCGATTAACACGTGAAAAGCCTTTAATTTAATTAACTTTTTTGTCTCAGTTATGCTTATAATAGTGTCGCGATGTGTTTTTGCCATGAAAAAACAATCTTAAGGGAAACCAGAGACATTAAATATTGAGATTTCCTTACCTATTTTTGTACTCGCATACAGTATGTAAAATAGTGCTGAAGTTGTACTCGCCCTATTGATTGGTTTGAACTTCGCAAAAGTTTCATTAACTTGTTGACTACGAACCATTAAGATACTCTGTGAAATTTCGTCTTACCAGGTGTTTTCGTGCCTAAGCTGCTTTGTCTGCCCAGTTGTCCCCTATGATTACTTCCACACGATAAAACGTTGCCTTCTTCATTGAGAAATAATGTGTGCTGTTCTCCACACGCAACCAGGGAAACATGTCGGAGTAGCGGGTGAACTTCTGCGGGCAGCAGAACCAGACTGTCATCCTCTTGTAGGTCCAGACCAAGCTGCCCACTCGTCCCTTCTCCCCAGCAGTACATGTTCGTTTGGTTGGCGCTGCGCAGTGAACTGTCTGTACTAAATTATTCAAAAAAGATCGTTTTCTGAAATAAACAAATCATTCAGCTCAAAACAATTTTTGTTTAGAAACACCTCTGCCTAATAATGCCATTGCAAGCCTGTTTCTCACAAACTCCTTTCTGAACTTGAGCTGTTCCTTTCTCTCAGTCCCAGTTGATCTCCTATCCCTGCTTGACACAGCACCAGCTACAAGCTGTGCTCCCGACCCAGCTCACAAATCACTTCTCTTACACCCACTATTGGCGCTGGATTTTTGTAACACTCCCTTTTTTGTTCTTGTGAGCACATCACTCCTGAAGAACACCCGCATAAAAAAGCACGCGAGATGTACAATAAAAGACTAAAGGCTGTGACATGCGATTTTGTGAACTTCTAATGTTTCCTGTAAGCTTAAACGGAATGTATTGCAATACATGGCATGTCGATACTACCCAATGTTCTCTACTGAAAACCAGTCATCTGAAAGACAACGCAAGAAAAAGACATCGAAAAAGAAAATCAGACAGGAGTGGAGGGCTTGGAGTCACATGGACTACCTCACAAGAAGACCAAGACAGCATGAGTTATGCAAATGAGAAATTTGTGCATTCTGTTTCAAACAGAAGACTACTTAAGAACGTATACATCTTTCCTGTTGTGCAGAACCATGACGTTTCTAATTGGCTGTGATGCATTGCCTATAGGAGCAGCTGATAAAGTCAGGATTTCCTTGTTAGCTCAGTTCAAGACTGAGAGAAGTTTTGTGTGTTCCTCTAGACTTTTTCACACATTCACATTGTCTGTGGCAAATGCATGATATTACAAATACAAAGAAACAATAGCTTTGACAACTATGAAAGATAGAAAAAGTTATAGCTGCTCTGTAACTAATTCAAAGAAAAGCAGTCAAGATTAGTGGGCTTAATAGGAAATCCTTTCATCTTCTTTAGGATGAATTGTAAAACATATTCCATAGAGTTGTGGGAGTCTGGTACAAGCTAACTAGCCATACTGTTGAAGCTGATAGCCTGGTGTAGTTCAAGAACAAAATGGATGTGATCCTGGGATCCAGCTATTGTTACTACAGTACTTATTATGCAAGACAGCATACAGTGCTATTAGTTTGATCAACAAAACATCAGAATATTCAAGAAAGCACAAAATAAAGTACAATTAAAATGTATTTAAAAGACACAACTCCTACTAAATGATTAGACGCTAGAACCATATCAGAACATTTCAGTTTTAGATTTGTTTGATTCCAAATCCTTTCCTTCCAAGATGATTGGAAGATGTTCTGTGAAGGCATATAGGTCAAAGCCTGAAATCCTTCAACTTGTTTCCAAAATCCAGGGTAGGGAAAGCTCTGTAAGCTTTATGTCCTCTGCTGTCCCTCAGGCTCCACAGCATCTACTCACCAGGTGCAGCACAGCACTGGGTCCATAGGAAACACAAGGCAAGGGCAATCAACAGGTGGACCTCACATCAAACAGCAACAACAGCATCATGTCCTTGTCAAGGTCTGGGTCCAGCTATGAACGCTGCTGATCGCATCATGGAGTACTGAATGTATATTCACAACTGCTCAAATGTAAAATACACCTTCATTTGTAACAAGAAAAGGCAGGGGGTGTTTAACAGTACTGCAGTACTTTTTTAAAATAAAGTTCTTTACAGAGTTCTAGTTATGCTCCACATGACCTAGCTTGTGTTCCATGCTGACAGCATAATGTAGTGCTGGAGCCACACAGTAATCTGTGCTAGTGTGTGCATCTCTCACACAAGTGGACTCAACTGATCTAGATTGTAGAATGGAAAAGGCAACATGTGAGGCAGAACTGAAGAAAGTCAGACTAAACTAATGGAAGATCCATAATTCCAATTTCTCATATTTGCTAAATAGGCAGGAATAAGGTCGAAAATAAATAATAAATGTATTATAATAATTTATGTTTTAATCTTGTTTTAACAAGCCAAGATAAATTTCTCTTTATCTGCTCTGTCCTTAATCACATTCTCCTCAAGCTCACTGGCTAAGCCAGAGCTTTGTTACTGGAGCCACATGAGCCCGGCACACCTTCTCTTCTCTGCAGCTGGCACATCGCTCATCCCTTTCATCCCCGTTACCTGTGATCCTTTCCAAGACCATGCATAATCAGACAGTGTAGCTTAGGAAAGGAAGCTTCTTGGTAGAACCGTTGAACCTTCAGGGTGCAGGCCAGACTGGGGGACTCCCCCCTCCCCCAATAAGATGAGAATAGTACTGATTTTGCTCTCATCTCTGCCATCGCTACCTTGCAGCAGCCAGCAAACACATCAATGAGCAGAACAATAACTCATCTGCACGCTTCCTGCCATTTTATTTAGAATCATACAAATGGGAGAAAGAAGTGAAAGAATAACAAGTGAAACATGACCAGCAGACTGAACCCATGTGTTTGCGGTCTGTGTGGATGTAGCCAGGAAGAGATTCTATCGTGTGCGAAGTCTGAAGAGTACAGTCAGGAAAGAGACTGACACAGTGGCCGCTGCGTGATCTGTGCAGAGGATCCATCACCACCAACTGCTGGGAGGGCAGGGCTGGCCAACAGCGTTGTAGCATCAGCCTCGCACACATCAGACATCGGTCATCTCATCCTCCAGGTCATCCCCTTCAGTCTCCCCATCCCCCTCCTCCTCCTCCTCTTCCGAGGTCACATCAGGGTCATCAGCTTGGGAGTGACACTTGGGACAGGAGCAGACAAACAGGTAGTTCTCCCTGGAAAGACAAGGAGGACAGATGGGTGGCCGTTTACAGTGTAGGGTGGTCCCAGCCAAGTTTGTGAGGCTTGATGGGCTGGTGGTCCAGGTTAGGGGCTCATTGCCAGAAGGGACACAGCTCAAGCGTGGAGTCTGCTAGTGACTGACCCGCCTCGCGTTTCTTTCTTCAATGACGTGTCAACATGCGGCCCTGTCCCCAGTACAGTTGCAACAGCTGCTGTTGGAGAGACTAGGTAAAACATACAGCACATGTGCCGGACACAGAGCTCTGCTGAATGTAAGGGGGCCTCACCCGCTGTGGATCCTAATGCCCCAGTGTAGTGATTAAATAAGATAATTTTATTAGCCATATACAATTCTTGTATTAGGAATATGTCTTTTTCCATACTCCAACTTCCTCTCCCTGAGACACACAGACAGGGAGTGAAGCTTGGGGTCAGAGTGCAGGGTCAACCATTTATATGGCACCCCTGGAGTAGTTAGGGTTAAAGGCCTTGCTCAGGGGCCAAACGGAGCAGGATTCTTCTGCCGGCTACAAGATACGAACTGGCAACCTTCCAGCCACAGGCACAGATCCTTAGCCACAGAGCCACCAGATCGCCCATCAGACACTATACTGCAAAAAGGTGCTGCCCTTCAGATGAGACAAAACCGAGGTCCTGATTCTCCATGATCTGGATTCTCAGCTCACTGGACAGAGAGCTGGGCTGCAAGACTGAAGGCAGAGAGCTGCTGCCCCCTTGTGGTGAGAGCAGGGAAGCATGACAGTAGAGTCTCCATACCTCAGAATCTTGTGACGACTGTGGCGGCTCCTCTCTCTCTGACAGCAGTCTAAATAGCTGATGCAGATTTCCTAGAAACGGCAAGGAATCCACTTAGGAACTTAGGGCATCTATCACATGATTTTCAACTCATGCATTTTTACACTTTGCATTTTTACACGTTTGAAATCGGCAGCTGACCCAAAACTTTTTGCCAACTTCTTCGCTTCTGGTTTTTACAACAAACCTTTCCAAAGGTTTCCACCTTTTAAGTGCCACATTTGCATCCTCCCTCTTCTGCTTCCTTGTCTCGCACTCACTGCAGTATTTTCTAAATTTGTCCCTATCTCTGCTTGTGCTTGCCATTTTTCCACCAGCTAACTTTTTTTCCAAGCTAGTTTAGCTATGCCAGAATAACTTTTAGCTTGCAACCGATGGCCTATGACGTAGTTAGTGCAGGACACGCCTCCAGTTCTGAATAAAGCACCTGCTCTTCCACTAACTTTAGATGTCATCTTGAGCTAAAATAAGAGTTTAGTGTGTGGCTTTATTAAAATATTTAAACATGTATTTTTATTTTTATGCATGTGTGAAATGGGATTGGGGATTGTGGGGGGTGGCCAGCGCCTGGCCCTGGGCATCCACCCCCTTCGCCCCAGGCTTGAGATGGCCCTGCAACCATCTCACATACAAACATGTAGAGGCCAGATTATGCACACTGTATAGACCTTTTGATTTCAAAAGTCACAGAATGCCTTGTCCATGAGAACCTCAGTCGCCTCCAGGAGGGCAACCTTGGGGCAGAGCTCCTTACCTCCCCAGCGGTGATGTCAGAGAGCGCCGTCAGGTGAAGCAGGAAGTTGTTGTCAGGGAAGGAGGCCTCAGCATTAGGAAAGCAGCTGTGGTTGCCTAGACAATACAAACAGCAATAGATGAAGAAGGAACATGGCAGAGCATCATCATCCAAGGTAGCTCAATCCAGAAACCAGCTGCGTATTCAGTCAGGTGCTGGTGGCACATGACAGGCAGTCAGCGTTGTTCTCTGCCCAATAGAAGCCAGCTGTCAGTCCTTATAATCACGACACCTGACAGCTGGGTTCTTCCCCGTTTAAACCCTTTTGTTTCCTGAAAGCAGAGGTTTGTAGACTGGGACAATGCACTGATATTTCATGTGTAAGAAAGATTACATAATTACTCATGGTGTTTTCCATGCCCTCACATTGGAAACAGACATTAAATACCCTTTCCCATTTCAGCCTTAAAAGCAGAACCTTTGCCTTGAGAAAGATGCATTTTCCTTTGATTTCCATGTCTCCTACATAGCAGATGGGGGAAATGAAAAATGCAAAAGCTAGCCCTGGCCACATGCTAGTTAGGCTGTCACAAAAGGAGTCAAAACAAACAATAGACCCTTCCCCAGTCCATGGACCCCCACTTACAGGAGCTCTGCAAGAGGAAGAGTCCAGAGCCCTCGCAGTTCAGGAAATCACCGGTTTCTGTCAAAAGACAAGTGTAACATTGTCCTGGTTACTGTTAGCTTTTAATTTAAAAAAGGATAGATGAACAGGTCCATCACATTTTGGCAATAAATTGCCTTTTCGGTCAATCAATATTGTGTGCTGAGATGGCAAGTTTTGCTGAGCCTCCGAGTCCCCATTTCCCATCACTGTTATTTCTCAGACCCAGCCCTGGAGCTACCCAATTTTCTACCAGAGCTGACAGCATTCAACAGTAGGCTAAAGGAACATCAATACATTATCAAGAACCTCATTACAACAGTATTACACTGCAGATTCATTCAATCTTTGTTTTTTTGTGTACATCAGCAAGACTATTGTTCGGATAGGAAGTCAGCTCATCAGAGTAATAAAGTTAGAATGCTTGATAATATTATTAAGAATTTATCCTACCAAGACGACATCTTCTATACAGTATATCCATCTCTTCAGTTTAAGCACAACTCATTTTTAATTATACAGAAAGTTCACTGTAGTATCATGTGCATACGGTGCCTAACCTGTCTCAATGTCCTTGTAGAGCTGGTCAATATAGGCATCCAGCTGCTCCCTCGGCTGGACAGGCAGCTCCAGTGCATCACAGCCATGGACCCACTGACTGAGAGAACTGGGAAACGGCAGGAATGACACATTGTCCTGCGCAGCTCATCACATGCCAGGAACCAACTAACCACACATGCACCACCTGATTTATTGCAATGATCATTAGCCCGTTAACTAGAACAGCCTCTCTATTAATAACCAATACCCAGCTTTCCAAACCAGCTTGTGATATCATGCATGAGCTCTATAATGGGTAAAGATGGGAGTGCTCAGAGCCTGCCTGAAGGCTTCAGTGGGCTGAGATAACTATATGGGTTTCCAATCCCTCTCTCTCCCTTCCCCATCGCATTCACTTTGACTGGCCCTCCATATCGCGGCACTATGTGATCCTTGGACTACTTTCATTGAGATGACATGTTAAAAACTTACAGAGCTCAACACTGGGCTGACATTAGCAACTCTGCCTCATCTAACATTCAGTGCAGATCAAACTAATTAATCAACTGCATTTTTGTTTGTGGTAAATACTTCCCAAAGGGTCTGAATTAAGAATACATATCAGCCAAAAGTGACACTGTTTGTGCGTAATTGCATGCAACACAGACAAGCACAACTGGAAAAGACCAGAGATTACACAGCCCTCACCTGGTCCCAATACCCTGGCCATTAGTCCCCACCAAGGCGAAGAGAGAGCGGAAACCTTCAGGGCTGAACCACTGCAAGAGAAGGACATCCGAGTGAACAGAAAGGAGGAGAGCATCCTGTGTGCGCCCCCTCTGGTCCTCCAGTTCAGGTCAATATTAAAACCCAACATGGCCCTTTCTCATCTGAACATGAAAATGTTCTATTTTTAAGTAACTAGTAGGGTTGGGTCCTCTGGAAAACGTACCATGGCATACCGTGATATACATGCATGTACCGTGGTATACTGCAAACCTTTTTCATGTTTATATATGGAGATTTTCTTATATTTTGATTTCATGATTAGTAAAGCATTTCGAGTTGTATACAAAATAAAGTAATGAAAATTGTTGTTTTGTTGTTTTATTGGAACCAAAGAACTAGAAATAACAGAACAATTTAACAATATGCAGATTTTTGTCAATCATTAAATAATTAAATCTTTTTTCACAAGGTATTGGAGGTTCATTTTGCTTAGCAAGATAATGTAAAATTCAACATATGACAGGTGCTTGTAAGTTCTAACATTTTCTCTTTACAATGAGTAAAGTTGATGTTTACAACCTTATGAAACATGTTTAGCATTTTCGATTGCCTTTGGCTATTTCAACTAAACTTCAAAGAATCCTCAATACTTGCTTAAAACATTGCTGAGACAAGATATTCTATATTGACTTAAACAGCTTAAACAAAATCCAAAAAGGAAACAATTCAAAGAATGTGTAATGGTAGCAATGGAATTACAAACACGATCAAGACTAGACTTCCTCCCTGACTAGAGTTACAGTAGAATCAGAAAAACTAGAAACAACAGCGCATGTTCAATGGGTCATTGGGGAAAGTCAAGGTCTTTCTGAACCAATCAGCTATGATTATTTCCATGTGATTTCCGAAATCACGGCATATTTCTAAACTTACTAGCCAATGATATGCAGGAAATACCTTTAGTGTGACTTTTTTTTTCTCACCCTTTTAAAGTTAATGACATTTTTATCACAGTCATTTTGTTCTTTGAATCAAATTTGAATTTATGAATGTGAACAGAAGACAACCTCTGTTAAAATCGAAAAAATAAAACCGCCGACGGAAATTGCCAGAAATTACTGGGCGTACCGGTCAGTCTAAAACATACCACGGAATGTACCGCGTGACTAAAGAACCGCAGTTTACCGGTATACCAGTTTTACCGTGCACCTCTAGTAACTAGTGTGATTGATGGGGCAACACTGTGGTGCAGTGGTTAGCACTGCTGCCTCTCAGCAGGACCCCCGACTTCAATTCAAGACCAGGGGTGCTAACTGTGTGGAGTTTGTATCTTCTCTCCGTATTCAGGTGGGTTGCTTGTTGCGACAGACTCAAGTTTCCCCACAACCCTGTATTGGATGAAGCACTTATAAAATGGATATAGTGTGATTGACTCCTAATACAAAAAAGTGCTGCGTCTTTCACATATAAAGCATCCCTGCAAATGCAATGATAAAGGAGGTGGCTGGCTGGCCAGACGATTTCTCAAGTGACAGCACAGCTCAAAGGAAAGTGCGTGACTCACCCTGCTGAGGTGATCGTCATACAAAGCTGCAGTAAAAAGGTTCCGCAAAGATTCCAGCTGGCCCTGAGAGAAAGAAAGAGACGGCATTGGATACAACACAGTTCACTCCCAGTGTGTACTGGACACACCTTTGCAGGTCAGTTGGTGCATTTTAATTATGTGGGTGTTGGCACTGCCTGCTACCTCAGACATGGCTGTGATTTGCATTCCAAACGCATGGGCCTGTTTTCCTGAACTGTTTGACATTTTACAGTCTAGATCCTTATTTAAACAATAATAATCAGACAACATGCTTTTCTATATACATCCTCAGAAAACCCATTTCCTCCTCAATTATCCCAACTTCAATTAGAGAGTGGTCAGTGCCTTTTCTATACTCTTTCCTATATAAGATGGCTTGATTGCCCTCACCTGAACCCCACTGCTTTCAGGATGTTATGCTTCCCGTAATTAAACCCTGAGGTCATTCAAAAGTCAAAGCAACAGGTACAGTTCTGACTGTTGAATGAAAATCACACGGAATTTGGGATAAAACTTGTACCCGGAATTGCTTCTCAAGAATGTCTTCCTTTGTGCAGTACTTGGGATACTATTTCTTCAGTAAGAGGTAACAAGAGCTAATGTTAAATGTATAACTCTGTGGAATATCACCCTTTTCCATTAATCCCTATCACTACATAAAATGTATCTGATCATGAGCAATTCCTTGTTTTGAGAGTGCACACAGCAGTGAAAATATTGAAAATATTAACATGGTAATGGGAATGATTATGGTAAAAATTAAACTCTAAAAATTTCTCTTATAGCTTTAATCCACATTACAAGATCAGGTGTGGTTTGCATATCATTATGCCAACAAACACAGCGAGCCCACGTATTCCTTTTTCTGTTTTCTCTGTTTAACTTTATTACTCACACCAAGCACAGGAATTCTCCAGTTCTCAAAATTAAAACTGCCTTTCTTTAGCAAGAACATGTGCATCTTCACTAGCTTCTCTTGCTGTGCAGATGTGCCAGCTGCTGTGGAAGGCTGGCAGGGACACTCAACCTAGAGGAGCTGTCCAAGGTGCTGGAGTTCCAGCTCTCTCATTATCAACATTGCTGGACACTCTACGGTGCCCTTCACTTGGTGCTTAACAAAGGTGCTCATTAAGAAGACATTTTCCACACATCAAAAGTGCCCCTAAATTCACACAGCACTTATACACCATAGCATTAAGGTAAAAATTGTGACAGCTGTTTATAATGCCAGGAAGAAATTAAGCTCTAAAAATAAACAGCAGCCCCAGTAGGTTTAGTTTTGCCTTGTCTGGGGTGCATTACAGTAGTGTTAACTGTCCATCTTGGCCAAATGCTCAAGGCAAACACGATTAGATGGCAAGCCACTGAAGCTAAGCAGGTGTGAGTCTGGGCATTACCTGGATGGGAGACCTCCTGGGAAAAACTATGGTTGCTGCCAGAAAAGGTATTAGTTGGGCCAGTAGGGGGTGCTCTGTGTGGAATCCTAATGCCCCAGTATAGTGCCTGGGACACTATACTGTAAAAAGGCATCTTCCTTCAGAAGAGACATAAAACTGAGGTCCTGACTCTGTGGTCATGAAATAGATACATTCTGAGGTTTAAGGGAATTTCCAACACTGACAGGCTGAATGAAATGAACACTGTTTAGTTCTTTGATGAAACGCACATGAAAATAATCCTAAATGAAGATGTCAAAGATGAAATTGTTTTGCATTTTTGTTTGAGTAAATTAACACAAGACAAAAAACTCAGAAGGAAATGAATTTTGTCACACGAGATTTACTGTTCACACATTTACCATTGGTTGCCAAAGAGCATGCCAACTGTAAATGGTATAATCTTACGAGCTGATACTGGTTGTAGATTGCAAGGTGACAGACATGAAGCCCAGGCATTTCACTGTGCTGGCATGATGCTAGCACGATGTCATTAGCATATCACATGCTGGCCACAGGAATAGGGGACACCACAATTGTTTAAATTGGTCTTTGTCATTTTTCAACTGAAATAATTTGGTGTTGAAAGGGCTAGGTATTCAGAATATTATATCAGCAAGTTAAAAGACTTATTTTGCTCATCCTGCCCCATTTGTAAGTAATTCATCATTGGCAGAGGCCTCTGCAGTAATAACAATAACACTGGGTAAATTGTAAAACCTTAAATACATACAAATGATCATTATTATCAGTGTCAAAATAAACATTTTTATTTGAAAAGACTCGTGCCATGTTTTAAGATTACAATAAGATCAATTATTTTTGTATTTGGCCTCTGACCTTTCTGGGGGCCAATATACTTTATGTTGTACAACAATCACTTGTTCTTCTTTATATAATGTTATCAAATGTATGATATCACATAATTATATGGTTAATGGTTCAAATTAAATCTTATTATTAGAATAAGGCTTGCCAATACAGTGCTAAACATTTTCATTACAGATGGCTTAATTCTGTTACAGTCTATTTTTTTTTGTTTTGTTTTTCCCTGCTCAATGTCAGGTTTGCAGAACATTTTCTTTGCCATTTTTATTTTGCCACCCCAGTTGCACACACTGCACATATAGGAGTATTCACAGACTGAAACCAATTCCTATCTGCAGGCTCTCACCTGGAACTTCTCCCCCAGGAGCTTGTGAGCAATCTGCTCCTCCTGCTCGCTGGCTGTCCTGCTGCAGAGCTGAGAGAAGATACTCAGCCAGTGGCCTTTATCCTGAGCCTGCGAGCCAAACACAGACACTGCCTGAACACAACTCAACATGAAAATAACTCCTTTAATAACTCATTCTCCTCTCAGAGGTTACCAGGGGGATATTATTTGGATTTAAAAAACTGCAGTAACCTTTACTATTCAAAAACACCCACAGTGTCTTAGCCCTGCACAATGCTACTGCTTTGCTACTAACACAGAAGGTCAGGATATTCTTCACTCTGCATTTCATGCCAAAAACCTTATTTAGACAGACATTCATAGACAGGAGGACAGGAATTTAATTTGTATAAACACATCAAACCATTTTAACCTTGCATTTATGCTGACAACCAAAAGAAACATGATAATTTATGCAGGTATGATTTTTAAGAAATTAAGTGGATTTTGGACATGATTAAACGTTTTGGCATTTTCATTACTCATGACAGATCGATGCACTGAGTTGCCCCTTCAGTGACTAGACTTGACTGGGCATGGGTGAGGACGCGATTAAACCCACTGAACATCAACCCTGGTGAAAATCATGATGGAAACCAAGATGCTTTGCTTTATAAAGAAGAACAGTGCTTTCATGCCATCGGTATGTGGAAGGCTGAACCTGGTCAGCACCTTGTTGCTTGAACAGGCACATGCTTGCCCCAGCTCTCTGGGAGGAGCAGAGACGAATCCCTCAAGCCTGAAGCTAGCATCTTGTACTGTGTCCAACATTGGCCACGCATGCTACTAACCTATGACTTTCACAGCAGGCCCCTGGTGAGGAACCCCATCAATAAATATAAACCAGCTTGATACATTTACCCATGGTCATGTCAGTTCTACAAATTAGCAGTACAACTGCAAGAAAAAGATTGGCAATAATAACATTGTGATTTACTGCAGCTATAAGATAGATTTTTCTTTTGATGCTCAGTATAAAGTTCAAACCCATTCAATGGTCTTGATGCTGACAGATGGAAATCATTATAAATGTCCAGGATAGAAAATAAGAGTTAAACTCATAAATGAGGAAGTCCTGGCCACACTTAATTCATCTCAGTATTTCTCTAGCAACGCATTATCAAAAGTATAGAAAGAATTAAAAGGTTTTACTTTAGTGCGATTTGTCAATGCTGGAATTTTCATTATGGCACTTTTGGTTGCTTTCTAGGGTTAAGAAAAAGGAAAGAGGAAAAATCAGGGTGTAATTTATGGAAATAAAATAACTGGTACTGTACCTGTTTTACTATTGCTACCATCCGAGCCATTAACATAATGCTGGCGGTCTCTGGTGGGTAATGCATGCTCCTGGGAAACAATAAGAGAGACAGTCAGACAGACAAAGGCGTCTGTTAGTAAGCCAGGTCTGCAGCCTGCTGTGCGCAGTGTGGCAGAAAATCACATTTCACTGTAAAAGTGCCGGAAGATGGCACAAAAGGGAAGTTTTTTTTAGCATGTGCGGAAATTGCTGGACTTTTCCTCCTTTTTGGTGTGCCAGCAATCACCTCTTTAACAAGCACTTCTTTAAGGTGCATTGTGCTGGAAGCCTAGCTGAGCAAACAGTATTAACACCAGCACTATAGTCCATCCGTTCCATTAGGTTTAACGCCAGTTACCAAAGTAGCAAAGTCTGCAGAAGTGTTATCATGCCCATCCTCGTTGATAAATTTTGAACCTTTCCTTTTTTTTATTTGTTACACCAAGGTTGAACTATAAGGGAAAAATGTCACCCCCCCCAACTAATGTTCTAAAGAAATAAACACCGAGAGGCTCTGTCCAAGACCCTCCACCATAGCTTCTGTGAACTTTGCAATATGGCTTATAGAGATCACCAATGACTGACTCGGCCCGGACAGCAATATTGTGATGGCCCGGACAGCCAGCCAAATACAAGGGTTACAGCCAGCAGGACACGCCGAGGAAGTGTGCTGGTGAGGAAGTGCCCTCACTGGCCAGAGAACACGCCTGGCACTTTCTTTAAGCTCTTCTGCATGGCTGTGCTGAAGACTGACAAAAGCTAGCTGGTCACGTTTTAATTTAGGTCTTCTCCCGATGTTCCCCCTAGATGGACTTCACAGGAGTCCTAGATGAGCCCACCTTGAATCTGGGCACACCTGCTCATCACACACCTTTCTGGAATCAACTGAGACCGTACCTGCAATGCCTTTTTACAGCTTCTACTGAAAGGACATTTGAACAAGTAAGAAACGCCAATTAAAAACAGCACGGTATTCCCTTTGAACTGCTATCATCATTATAAGAATATTTTCTCCCACAGTTTGACTGGAGAGCTGTGTCAACACGTGTTGGTTGCAAAGGAAAAAGTAAAGGTTACTTCCATGCTGAAATCTGAAAGAAAAAGCTGTTTTCTCTCAGGTTATTGAGACCTTATGCAGAAAACGTTTTTTAAAACTAAAGGAGGTTAAATTACTGAGAAAAATAAATTATAAATGTATTACTATAATTATAAATTATAGATTTGGACTGCACTACAACACGGGTGGCGGTAATTCTGTGCTCCGGAGACTGCGCGCACACGGTACAGTTATAATAAATGTTTTCAGGTGAAGTGTTCTCCTTGTGAAATTTCAGGCTCCACACCCAAGTCTTTCCCTCCCACATTTCTTCTTTTCCTGGAGGGCCCAGCTGTGCCCCCTGTTCCCCACACTCACCGCCAGGCCTCCTGCAGTTTATTGAGTGGGTGCTCCAGGTCGTCCCGGGACTGGCCCAGACACAGCACCTGGTGGTATTGCTCCAGAGCTGCCCGCCGGCACTCAGTGCTGCAGTACATGACCTGCAGGGGGAGACACCGAGTCAGCGCAGTCCATCGCCCAGGCTGTTGCTGCAGTACAGCATTGATTTACCCTCATTCTGCTATCTGTTCTGTTAGCACAGATATCAACTATTCTGTTCTCTACTAAGCAAAAGAAAGAAAAATGAAAATAGGAATGAAGGATGTGATTGGGGAGTACTTTTGCACTAGATAGCCCTCTTTGTGTTTTTTTAGAACACTCTGGTGTCCTCCCTCTTACTAAAGATGTGTTATGTAAAGTTCTTGGTGTTGTCAGGGTGTTTGGCATCTCTAAATTGACCCCATGTGCTTGTGTACATGTCCCGCACCAGACTGACTGGTCCTGTTTTGCACACTGAGCTTCCTGGAAGGGCTCCTGGCTGCCAGGACCCTCATCAGAAACAACCAGCTTTCTGATAATGGCTAGAAGAAATAATGCAACCACAGATTAAGAAAAAAAAACAACGAAGATGTTCCTTCTATTGGGCAGAGCCGCTGCGCAGTGATTAGCATTACTGCCTCACAGCACTGGGGCCCCGAGTTCAATTCTTGAACTGGGGTACTTCTGTGTGGAGTTTGTATGTTCTCCCTGTGTTCCTGTGGGTTTTCTCTTATAGTCCAAACACAGGTTGGTAGTCGAAAGAGGCTGCAAGCAGAGGAGGAGGAGATGGGCAGGGAGCAGGCAGAACAATACCTGGCAGCGTGGGCAAGCCTGGTGGAGCTCAGGGCGGATGCTGCACTGCTCGGGGTGCGGCAGCAGGAGACTGGCATTGCCGCTGAGCCTCCGGGCATTCTCCTCCGCCGTCTCCAGAGAGCGCAGGCAGTACTCGCAGGCTGGGGCCGCAGGGCAGAAACACAGACAGAACACGGTGAGCAGCACTGACACACCGGCCGAGCTCAAAGAGAAACAGAAACAGCATCCGCCATCTTGAAGAATTAGTTAACGTTACAAAAGGTACATCATAAAACACTTCTCCACCAAGTAATAAGAACAGGTCCCAGAGTCCGTCACCAAACTGGAGACAATTCATGAACAGCCACCACCTCTACCTCAGACTCAGCACTGTCAACATATAAAATAAAGAAATACATGTCTTTATAGCCTTATTACTTTATTCATGGACACTTTGGAAGGGCACACAAACGTGTGTCATTTTAGAGATTAAACGAACCTAAAATTTCATTAAAACACTCTTTGAAGGATCCCAGAGTATGAGCATCAACCCCCGCATATTCCCATCTTTTTCAAACATTTGTCATTCCACATCCTGCTCTGCATCTAGTTTTTTTATTACAATTTGCATTAAAGGGAAAACAAACAACATAGGCTTATTTAGTTTAACACCACAATTAACAGCATTAATGATAACTTCTACTGCAGTACAACACAAATATGATTCATTTATTCAAGAAACATAGAATAGTACTTTAACAGGATTTCATTTCAAATTGAAAAAAGAAGAAAAAAAACTTTTTAGTTGTCAAGCCTTATCAGCAGAGCAACACAGATGTCCTTGAGACACTAGGAGAGACAGTGCTGTCTGCAATACAGAGGGAAGTGAAATCAGCACCAGTGAAGTGAACAATTCTGATGGGAGGATGCACTGGGAAATTCACAGGGTCTGAAGGTCTGGACAGGTCAGCAAATGCCCCAAGAGTTTCAGGGTGCTTTGTTGATCATGTGCTATTAGAAATTTGGTTTGTACTCAAGTGAGAGCTTTTTTTCACCTGAGTGAAAAAAGCTTCCCCTCAGAAAGTACTGATAAAACACTTTCCCTCTTTTACAATACCCCCCATTTCTCTAGGAACAAATCATGTCTTTTTTCAACCACGTCTGTAGTTCAGTGTCCTTTTCTTCTTTAATACAGTCCTAAGAGCTTCCCTCTGCAACGCAGAAGTGAGAAACTCAGAACTCAGATGGTGCATTCAGCACTTCATAAGAGCCAGGACATGACTTCTTCCGGACTGCATCTAGACACTGAGATCTAGATAAAACTCGGTTGTATAAACGGGTTGCACTTAAACACCATGGCTGGGGAACATCCTATCAGACGGACACACGAAGAGACAAAGGAACAAAGAGGGAGTTTCTCTCTGTCCCGCGATTCCTCTGAGCACAAAACCGATTGGGAAGGCAAACTGCCTCTTTTCCATTCCACAGGGTGTCAGGCTGATCATGTCTGTCATTAGGAGGCTGCAAGCATCAAAACTACCAGGGCTACTGATGAATCACCCAACAAAAGAGACTACATTTGGCCATTTGGCAATGCATTTGTGCAGTACTGTGTAACATCCCTCGCAGTATGACTTAAGGGAAAAAACATTCTGGGAGAAGACGGGTATTTGGTAATTTCCTGTTATTGTTACTAAAACAACATAATGGCATAGGTATAGAAAAAATACTTTAGTGCTGAATAAGCATATTGATTTTAGAGTTAACTAGACTAGGCTACAAACCTGTAATAATAATGATAAAGGTATTGGAATCAACAATTCTCACCTCACCTCTGTATTTATACAAGGCATTCCACAGGAACTGCGCGGACACCAGGGGGCGCTCAATAAATATATTTTCTCCTTTGCAGATGGCTTTCTTGGCAAACAATCCTCTTCCCTACAAGTGAATAACAATTCAGGTGACACTTCTGTAGGATTTGACTCAGCTCCAACCTGCTTCATCAAACAAGATGTTAACAAGCCGTTAAGCTCAGCACTAACGAAGCCATTAGAGCTTTGCTGCAACATGATGTGACCAGATTGATGTGCTCTTGTTGTTCACCTGCACTGCCAGGAAACTCTTCCTGTGTGTCTGGCAAGCGAAACAACAGAAATAGTGGCCACTACCGCAGAAAACAAGACCACAGAAGATCCTATGACACGTTTCTGGGCACACCAGAGCTCTCAGTAGCACAGTGTAATAACAGAAGGATTACTAAGAGCTCTTCCATTAGTTTTCACTCTCGACACACACTGGAGTCTTTATTTAATAAATTATAGGCATCTTTAGATCACCACACTGAGGAGCAAAACAAATTGAAAACGTGCCGATCAAGCAATAAGCCTGTTAGTCGAATTAAGGATTAAATGCCCCGAAAACAGTCCCTGGGCAGCTTCTCTGAAGACATGACCTGAGCGCTATGAAGCAAAACGGACTCATGACTGCTCACCCACCCACCTGAACCGACATCCTGGCCCAGCGTGGAAGTTATATCCGCGGCCCATGGGAATGTCTGACCTCAATACCGCAATCAACAGCACACAGCCAGTCAGGCACTGCTGGGGTTGCATGGGCTTAAATCATTTACTAGTCCAACTACTAGTCAACACTGACCCCTGCAGTTTAGTAAGGCAGTCAGATAATACCTCTCAGCTGAGCACTCCGGTGGCACACAATTCAAAGGGATGCCTTAACCCCCTCCTCACTGGCACAAGGTCCCAATGACAAAGCCGAGACAGAGGCTGAAAACATTTATGAAACGTTTATTATTTTAAAATAATAAATCCTATAAATACATAGTTTTCATATCTCACCAGTACAATGAACACAAAAGCCAGTAGCTTGTAAAACCAGTCTAAGTCAAACTGCTGGGCAGCGGTACTGCGTTTCAATATTCGATGGTAAGAGAGGCAATACAGCATGAATCTGCTGCTGGTCTTCATTTGCTGTGGACATTCCAAAACAACTACCCACAATCCAGGCAATAACAGATTTCCTCATGCATCACATGACAACCAGTTCACTCGCAGACCCATCGCAGGACATCACAGTCACAGCTTACAACTGCACTGGTTATTTAACATTTATTTAAAAATCACAATGTGCAGCTTGCATGATCTTCATAAAATATATTATTTTCATTAATCACATGCTTAGGCCTATGCTATATTCATTTACATGATCACAATTTCTTGACGTCCCACTAATCTTATATTTTTCCATAAGGTTTGATGTAACGGAGGCAAAACTGAATGATATTATAATTCTTTGACTCCCTTTTTTATTAATGTGTAAATTTTACAATCACTGGACAACTGAAATATTCACACAATATCAGTGAAAATTCAGTGCAAAATCCTCATTAAAAAATCCCATGCTCGTCTTCAAGAACAGACGCCCGTAATAGCATAGTTGCTCGCTAGTATTTTGTATTCTAAATAATACTTGACCTAACGCTCCTATTCATTGGGACACGTTTTTTAATAAACCTCATGTAAGCTTCTGAAGTTAATAATCTGTGAACAATTTAAAAAGCGTATGAATCTAATATAATAGGCGTCACAAATACAAAATACCGTTTCTCAGTCTCGTAACATGATGATACTACAGTACACCGTTATGTCCTAGATCATCGTAGTCCTGCAGTATTTTGAAACTAGGCCATGTTAAGGATTCAAAGCCGACTCCACTTCGAAATTATACAAAAGTAATAGATGAATACAGTTACTTTTCTCAATTTGCCTATAACCTAAATAGCATGACTCGTGACAACCCTATATACCACATACTTTGCCGGCCAGCATGGCAGCAGCATTAAAGAAAACATTAAAAATACTGTACTGAAATTCACAACGGTAAACAAAATTCCCTGAATGACATTTCCTTAAAACACCCACCTTGACTTTATCAATGAATCGGACCTCGACCAAGCCGCCGACTTTACCGGGCTCTGAGCAGAACGAAAACATGTCACCGCTGGGGGCGGCCATCTTGAATTTACCCTCTCACCCCTGACTCCGCTCCCGAGCCAATAAGGCCGCGAGACCGCGCGGCCGCCTTGCGCACAGACGGGCTGCCTCTGCTGCGGCTGACTGTCTCGCCGCGACCCAGTTTCCGCCTGGGTGACAGATTGTGTTTTTTTTTTAAAAAAAAACTTCGCTCAAAGTTTAAGATTCTGAGAAACATTAGCAGTTCGTGTTGAACGTTGGCGCTGTCTTTTGTTTGTTACATTAATTTTGTCTGTAGTAGTTATTCCATGTCATATCTTTATCGTCAACGTGGTAAAGAGAGCGCACTATTTTTCGTGTCCCTCCGTGTGTAATTGCGGCAAAGTGTTTCACCTTTAAGAGTGCTGTTGAGAGTGTACATGGACTGCAAAAGTACAGGCGCATTGGATAGCCTGTCAATCCTTAAAGTCTGCAGGATTGCGTAGGAAAGCTGGTTCTGATATTATCTTTTTATAAACTCGACCCCTTTCCTAGACATTCCGGGATAAAATAAACGGCTGCAGTCAGAAATGTGGGCTGCTTTTCCCCTACCATACATATTTAGCATACTGTAACTCTTAAGCAGCTCTACCCAGTGGTAGAAAACCCAGTGGGCTTTTCAGCTGAACTTTGAGAGCCCGTTTTCAGGAGCATCTGATGCGAAACGACAGACTGAATCCGACCACCAGTTTTCTAACCGCTTGTTCTTAACCCAGTGCCGCAGGGGAGCCGGAGTACGTCCCAGAAACCAATGGGTGTAAAACAGGATGCACTCTGAATGGGAGGCCAGTCCGTCGCAGGACACACACAAACGCATTATTTAATTCGCACCAGGGGCAATTCTCCCGGAAGCCCGTTAACCTACCAAGTATGTTTGGGGGCTGTGGGAGAAAACCCACGCAAACTCCACGAAGATAGAAAACCAGGTCCGGACTTCAACCCAGGTTCCCAGCGCTGCGAGGCAGCAATATCAACCACTGTGCCCCAAGACGTAATCTACACAGTTGATAGAAATTAATTGTGTCTCCAAATTAAATACGCACCTCATAATTATAAATAATTGCTTACAATTACAAAGCGCTTTTCTGGACACTTCACTAAAGGCGTATAGCTTCAAGGACGTTAACGAGGCAGAATGCAGGTTCTATATTCATCTTAAAGCCCAGAAACGCTCACGGACACCTGGAAATTCAACCACACGAGGCGGGCAACGTGTGAGCAGGTGTTTAAAAGTCAGGTAGTCAACGTCTTTCTTCCAGAACTTCTGTAGACTGTGCTTTCTGTCTCTCTTTTTGTATTTCGCTCACATTTCTTTTTTTTTTTTATCTTGTCCAATATTACCAACATTGATGTAGAGCCCCTAGACCGGCGTGAAAGAAGCTGCCTGGGGGTTTTAACTGAACGACCAGACTCCCTGCTGACCCCTGCCGGCGAAGATCAGTAAATGATTGAATTCACAGCACGGCCACTAGGTGGCTCTCTAACGTCAGAAGAGTGAATGACTACGTCGGTCAGTCTGTGTGGTCTGAGTAATAAACTTCTTTAACAACGAGTGTCCTTTTCAACCTGTCATGCGGTTCATTGTTCCTCTCTGCGCGTATAAAGGAAAAGGGCTGGACAACCACTTTAATGAGATGTGTAAATGGATGGCAGATGCTAAGACCAGACTCCTGTGAAAATGTCTGGAAATTCTCCATGCTGCACTCTCAGTGAGATGTTTATTTAAGAAGCTAAGAGGACAGCGGCCTTTGATCGAGTATTGCCCACATTTCTCTCTTGTTTTGTCCAGCTACTTGCCCATGTATCTTATCGGCTCCTTGAGCTGCCCAGTTTGTTGACAGTTAGGGTTAGTATATTTCTAAGATCACCTTTATGATCAACTTTATGGTTCTTTGAAAATTACTACATTGAAAGGCACTATATAAAAATGATCATGCTAAATAATTGTATAATTCTTAACTATTATACAGCACTTTTCATCCCAAAGGAAACCAATGTTTTTCACATATAAAGTTTATGCAAAAGCTCGGGCAATCCTGGTCAAACTGAGAGTTTCATAGACTAAATGAAAAGACGCTAACACAACCTCTGCAGGGTACAGACTTAAACATGACATATTTATGCACATTTTAATGCACAATTACTATTTATTTACTGAATTTAACAGATTGGAAAAATTAAAAAGTGAATGTGGCATGTGCAAAAATTTGGGACCCTGCCAGTCAATACTTAGTAACACATCCTTTGGCAGAAATCACAGCTTCTAAATATTTCTTGTAGCCAGTTAAGAGTCTGTGCTCTTGATTTAGGATTTGTTTCCGCACTCTTCCCTCCAGAACTCTTCTACCTCAGAAATATTCTTAGGTCTTCTTGCACACACTGCATATTTGAGATTTCCCCACAGATTTTCAATAATATTAAAGTCTGGGGACTGTCACCGCCATTCCAAAACCACAATCCTCCCCTCCTGTTTGGACTTCATGGTTGATTTTGAGGTAAGTTTTGGATCATTGTCTTGCTGAAATATCCAAACTCTTTTCAGCGGCAATTTCTTCACTGGTTCTGGGACATTATCGTCTAGGATGTTTTAAAAAAAGTTGGTTGAATCAATTCTTTCTTCCACCCGCACAATATTTCCTGTGCCAATGGCTGCCACACAGCCACAAAACAGAATAGATCCACACCCATGCCTCACGGTTGGCAAGGTGTTCTTCAAATGCTAAACCTGTTGTTCTCCAAATGTATCTTTTGTACTTGTGGTCAAAAAGTTCATTTTTTGTTTCATCAGTCCACAGCACTTTGTTCCAAAACGTTTCTGGCTTATCTAAGTATTGTTCTGCACACTTCAGACATTGCCTTTTGTGATGAAGTCGCAGGAAAGGTTTCCTTCTGATGACTCTTCAATGCAGATCATTTTTGTGCAACAGGCTGTGGACCACTACTGTGTTGTCAGCTAATCCTTTCTGCAGGTCCTTTGCTGTGATATGGGGGTTCTTCTTTGCATTCCTGACCAGTCTACAAGCAGTTCTATCACAGGCTTTTCTGGGTCTTCCAGATCTTGCCTGGATCTCAACAGTTCCCCTTAACTTCCATTTCTTAATGATGTTTCTGACAGTGGAAATGCCAAGATATATGTAGATATCTTTTTATAGCCTTCCCTTGCTTCGTAAGAGTCAATTATCCTTATTATTTTAGTCGTGAGTCAGATACTTAGAGGAGCCCATGGTTGTTGAGAGCAGGCACAACATTCTGGGAGGTTAGAAGGGTCAGAGTATTTATTCAACTCTAGAGTGGTCTTCACCAGGCTTAACTTAAGGACTAACGAGTCAATCAAGTTTTGAAGCCTCAAAAAGTATTAATAAATCAACTGGAAGGGTGCCCAAACTTTGGCACAAGCCACATTCACTGGTTTTTTGCAATCTGTTAATTTCAGCAAGTAAATAGTAATTTTGCATTAAAAATGTACATAACTATGTCATGTATAAGTTTGTGTCTTGCAGAGGTTTTGTTAACTACTTTTCACTTAGAGATTCAGTGAAACATGCAATTTGACCAGGGTAGCACAAACGTTTGCACACAACTGTAGGACAGGACCAGCTTTATCACCCTCTTGGGTGCCACACAGTAGCCCCACTGCACAGCCCATCAGGCAGAAAAGAGAAGTATTCCTTCACCGATCAAATGAAAAATAAACTTAAGGGAGAACAGACTGAACAAACAAAGAGCGGAAATTAGCCAGGACACCAGGGTTAACACCCTTACTCTTGCAAATAGTGGACTGTGATATTTAATACAATACAATAATACTTTATTGTTTGACTTCTCAGAAATCTGTTTTACATGCAAGCAGCTATGCTTTACACAGAGACTTAGAAATCATATAAAAGCAGAACAAATAAGCATTGCGTTTTAAAATAAATATAACATATAAGTCATCAAACCATACATAGTCCTTACACACCACTCCTACAGGAATCCACATAGATTACCAGAACCTGTAACTTTACTTTTGCCATAATCACCATAAACACATATAACCACATATTACCACTTCATTTTTCCACTGATCGCACTTGTCCATAAGATATGGATAAAGGTATTCCTCATTATGTTACGTCTGCGTTGAACTCTAACTGCATTAGTTTGCATTCTTCATGTAGAACATGGGGGATCATAGAAGTTACTAAACTAGAACAGATCTGATCTAAAGCAGGTAAATAAAGTTCTAACAGAACCCAATCCTGTATATGTGGTTGACCTACAATATTTAAATAATAACCCCTGTGCTACCTCCAAGTCATGGCAAATCAGTACAGACTGGGCACTGAACATCTGAGTTTAGCAAGCTCATGGCGAGCAGTACGCAGGGTTAAAATGGGAGATATTCTATCCCCATTGTAATTGATTATTAGTAAATGATAGTAAATGGTGTCATACTGCACAGCAGAGACAAGTCACGGTGACTGATCTGCCGCCCTTTCAAGCCATTTCCTTTTCTCTGACACAAGGAGCTGTAGTGGAAAGTGTGAGTGCGTTCATTAGATGTCTCTTTCATTGCCTGTCAGTGGTTTTTTTCCAGTTAATAGCACAATTGTTTCTTAT